AACAGAACAGAACAGAACAGAACAGAACAGAACAGAACAGAACAGAATAGAATAGAATGGAATGGAATGGAATGGAATGGAAAATATGGAGTGGAGTGGAGTGGAGTGGAACGGGACGGAACGGAACGGAACAGAACGGAATGGAACAGAACAGAATAGAGCAGAACAGAGCAGAACAGAGCTGGAAGGGACCTTGGAGGTCTTAGAATAACAGAGATGGAAGGGACCTTGGAGGTCTTCTAGTCCAACCCCCTGCTTAGGCAGAAAACCCTACACCACTTCAGAAAAATGGTTATCTAATCTCTTCTTAAAAACTTTCACTGTTGGAGCATTTTCAAATTCTGGAGGCAAGTTGTTCCACTGATTAATTGCCTTCTAGTGCAGCCCCCTGCTCAAACAGGAGAACCTGTACCATTTTAGATAAATGACTAAATCTAGTCTCTTCATTAAAACTTTCAGAGATGGAGCATCCACGATTCCTGAAGGCAAGCTGTTCCACTGGTTAATTGTCCTCACTGTTGGGAAGTTTCTCTTTAATCCCCCAGGTTGCTTCTCTCTTTGATTAGTTTCCAACCATGGAGCCTGCTATTCTAAATTGGTGATTATCTCAAATGTAATAATAACAAATATAATGACAATAATAACATTGATTGTCAAGAGGCACACTTCAAGTGGATTGAGGACTGTTAATAGCCCTTGTAAAGTTCCCATTTGCAGTTAAAGTAAACCTACAGTTTTTATCTTAAAAGTCTGAACTCCAAATAGTTCTTTAGGTCTTTAGCTAAGAATCTAGAAGGACAAGAAAATGTAGAGATAAGTGATACAAGTCTCAGAATGAATTGGTTCCTTCTATATGGTGTCCCCATAGCATTCCTATCAATGCTTTGGTCACAAGTAATATGTACCATTGCTCATAGTAAATGCAGCACCACGGATCCTCTGCCTATCCTTCACAAACAATATCAGTCAGGGAACATCAACATTGGTGGCATCATTTCTCAGCTCTACCTGTTTCAAATGATGATGGACTTCAAGACACCTCCTTCTAGCGACCTCTTTGAGGATAGTATGTAAGTATTCAGAGAGAGATGGCCAGAGGGATATCTTTATAATATACTGAATTTGAATGAGTGTTAAGAGCATTGTTTGAATGTTTATAGATGCCAAGATATAGAGTGTGTCATTTGGTCTTGCAGCATCTGTAGAGCAAAATAATAATAATAATAATAATAATTGCTGGTTATTTGTGCAATATATTCATACTGTATGTTTACTGCCTTTACATGTGCATAAAGAATTTATGGTATTTACACTTTCTATTTTCTATTTACACTTTCAACATATTTGTTGCATTTACCTGTTTCATTAATCTGGTGTCACCAAATGCCAAAGAAAGAATTTTAGTGAATGGATATTTAGTTTTGTCCAACTGTCTCCCTGCTTTCCCAAAATGTCAGCATTGGTAGATTCGGCCTGTAGAAATCAGATTTTTTCTTTGGAGATACTGTACCATATACTTAATTTAATTATATTATTGTTCAACCATAAATATTCAAATAGTGCTCCCTCTGTACAACACAAAAGCTGTATGAAGGGAGCTGGAGCCAAGGTTCCCTCCCTAGTATCATTCAGTTTTAGTAACCACATTACAAAAAAGATCTTGAGACTTTGGGAAAAAATGCAAAGAAGAGTCACTAAGACGTGGACGGGGTTAATTTATTTTCCAAAGCTCCAGAAGGCAACAGAAGAAACAATGGATGGAAACTAAACCAAGGAGAGAATCAACCTGGAATTAAAGAGAAACTTTCTAACAGTGAGAACAATTAACCAGTGGAACAGTTTGCCTTCAGAAGTTGTAGGTGCTTCATCACTGGAGGTTTTTAAGAGAAGATTAGACAGCCACCTATCTGAAGTGGTATAGGGCCTCCTGTTTCAGTACAGGGGTTGGGCTAGAAGACCTCTAAAGTTTCTTCCAGCTCTATTCTGATTGATACTAACATCTTTTGATGAACATCATAATCTGATCTAGCATGGAACAGTATCTTAGTCTTACCATGTAAACCTTTCCAGAGAAAAGATGGAATTGAAGAAAGATGGAATGACAAAGAACTTCACCACCGATCCCATTAGCAATAACCATAAAACGTATGCTCCACAGCTTGCTGTTTACAGTAACCTCCCAGGTCAATAGTCAAGGCACTACTGACATACTAAATCTTTTCTAATATAGTCGTAGAAGAAAAAGGTAGAATACGAAGCAGGGATGAGGTGGGGGGGAATCTGATTGATTTGACTGTTGCCAGTTCTTTCTGATAAATTGCTTTGATTAGTTTAGTTGCTGACTTGTTTAAATAAGAGGTGTAAATCAGACCTATTATATATACAGTAGAGAGAGAGTGGACCAATTCCACACATTATACTTGAAAGAAAGGCTGAAATAGTTACCATATTCCGTGTTAAATGTATTGTAGCAGTTCATGTACCTCTCTCTTCAGAATCATGACTCAGATTTACCAGCATATCCTGGCTTTAGTATTTGCTGTTAAGGAAATCAATACTAACCCCCAGATTTTACCCAATGTTACACTTGGCTTCAAAATCTATAATAGCCATTTTACTTCAAAATGGATTTACCATGCCTCAATGGAGCTCCTTTCGTCTAAAGGCAAATTAATCCCTAATTACAACTGTGACATCCAGAAATATCCAGTAGCAATAATTGGAGGACCTGACAGTGATGCATGTCTTCATGTGGCCATCATTCTGCACATTTACAAGTTTCCTCAGGTAACCATGTATGTGGAGTACATATAAAATCTGGTTAAATATAACATTCCTTTGCCATAAAACTTGGTCCCTGGGATAAAGCAAATAACTCAGTGAGATCATGGAGGACATTTTTTTTTCAACCTTTTTTGAAATCTATGAAATGCACTTATTAACGATAGTTCCTTCTTCGATTGCATGGGTAATAATAGCAATAGCAATAGCACTTAGACTTATATACCACTTCACAGTGCTTTACAGCCCTCTCTAAGTAGTTTACAGACTCAGCCTATTGCCCCCAACAATTTGGGTCCTCATTTTACCCACCTTGGAAGGATGGAAGGCTGAGTCAACTTTGAGCCTGGTGAGATTTGAACTGCCAAATTGCAGGCAACCAGCAGTCAGCAGAAGTAGCCTGTAGTACTGCACTCTAACCACTGTGCCACCATGGCTCAATAATAATAATAATATATGGCTTGAGAATCTCATGCTCCTTAAAAGCACCTCAAAAGCTTCTGCTGCACCAAATGTTACTGGCCCCATTCACAGAGCCTATTTAAGAACTAAAATAACCCTTTTTCTGAGTTCACAAAATGTCTGGAATTGTAAAGCATAGGAAGAGACAAAGAAACCTAAGCAATTTTAAGACTAACAAAGCTTCATAAATTGTGTAAAGTTATCATTAAACTCCTATGATAGATGATTTTGAAGGAATATTACCGTCAAATATAAAACTGGCAATATGAAATGGAGCTAAACTTTTACTTGTGCACTACCAGTTTGAAAAAGGATGTGGCAGCTCAGACGCTGAGCTTGTTGATTGAAAGGTTGGCAGTTCAGCGGTTCGAATCCCTAGTGCCACGTAATGGCGTGAGCTCCTGTTACTTGTCCCAGCTTCTGCCAACCTAGCAGTTCAAAAGCATGTAAAAAATGCAAGTAGAAAAATAGGGACCACCTTTGGTGGGAAGGTAACAGCGTTCCCTGCACCTTTGGTGTTTAGTCATGCCAGCCACATGACCACAGAGATGTCTTTGGACAGTGCTGGCTCTTCAGCTTTGAAACAGAGATGAGCACCGCCCACTAGAGTCAGGAACAACTAGCACATATGTGCGAGAGGAACCTTTAACTTTACTTTGAAAAGTATATCAATACACTTTATTTAAAAAAAAATCAAAGCCTATTGTCTCCTTTCTGAATCTTTCTGTATTTTTTAATAGTTGACATATGGCTCTGCTCCAATGACAGATGAGGACAAACAGGCTGGTTTCTATCACCAAATGTTTCCAAATATGGACCATCAATATAAGGGAATTCTTCTGCTACTGCAGCATTTTATGTGGACATGGATTGGGGTCTTATCTGTGAATAATGGGAATGGGGAGAAGTTTGTACAAAATGTGGTTCCCATGTTTGCCCAGAGTGGAATCTGCTTTGACTTCATTGAAATATTTCCCTTAATTTCTTATTCCACTGACATTTTCAATATCGTGAAAGAAGGGATAAAAATGTACAGTGTGGTCATGAACAGCACTGTCAATTCAGTGTTAGTTCAAGGTGAAATTTTTATAATGATAATTTTGAGAATGTTTCCTACTATGTCAAAATTTGAAGAGATACCATTACGAGAAAATGCTAAAATCTGGATTATGACAGCCCAGATGGATTTCACATCTCTTCCTTTTCAGAGGTGGGAAGATCTAGATTTTCTCCATGGTGCTCTTTCCTTTGCGGTTCATTCAAGAGAAGTCCTAGGATTTCGGGAATTTCTTCAGATGAAAAAACCAAATTTCAACCAAGAAGATGGCTTTATTAGAGTTTTCTGGAAGGAGGCTTTTGGGTGCATTTTCTCAGGCTCCATGATGGATGAGAAACACAACTCTGTGATGGACCGTCAACCAATCTGCACTGGGGAGGAGAAGTTAGAGAATCTCCCAGCATCTGTGTTTGAAATGGACATGACTGGCCACAGCTATAGCATCTACAATGCAATCTATATTTTGGCACAGGCAATACATGTTGCTCATTCAACTTCCTTCAAACATAGAATAAAAATGGGCAAAGTAAGAGTTGTTGAATTTCTCAAACTTCACCCATGGAAGGTAATGTCTCAAGGACTCTGACAAGTGTCAAGTAGGTAGATTTTTCCCATGTCGTCCAACAGCTAAATTAAATGTTTACTTCAATATCATTTTGCTTTTGGACGTAGTGTATTTCTCCTTCTCTAAAAGCCTTAAATAACGTTTTTATAAAGGGAGAATATGAAGAAAAAAACCCAACAGATTGTCTTTCCAGATGTTTCCCTTCTCTCTATTTATGTTAATATATCTCAGACACACTGGAACTGCAGAAATACAGCCTGATATTTTCTAATATTTCCATTTCTTTTTTTAAATGGGTTTTGGAATATTTTTTAAAACTGATTTTAAGTATTAAATATTATATTTCCTAATTAGTGATTGCATTATCATCATTGTCACCCTCATCATAATCAATTGTGTGCCTGGAGCCATATAAAAAATTAGGTATTATTATTTTCTCTTTTTAGCTTTCTTATGGGAGAGTGAGATTTTTCAGAAGGGTTCAAATGGCGGCCTGCAAGAATCATCTAGCAAAGCAGTTCAATTTCTTTCTTCCCCTTTTATCTGTAAATATCCCCTCTCCTTGCTTCTAACTTAAGAAGAGATTGGAAAATACTGTATGACTTAAATTGTCAAATCCCCTCTCCCCCTCCACAAAGAAAGCAACTTCTCATCCTCATCATGACAAGTGTGAACTATTTCACTATCACTTCACCTCTTCTTCATTATCAGATTTGAAATTCTTCATCCCATAACCCTTCTCGTAACAATCATGATGACCATGATGTTATCCATTCAGCCAGTGGTGGGATTCAACTAGTGTAACAACTGGTTTGCTGAGCACATGCACCACACTCTGCATGTGGTGCATGCATGTGGTGCAGTAGAAGGTAAGCTCTAAAATTTACCTTCTACTGCAGACCCGGTGAATAAAACAGCTGAGGCGCGGCAAACCGCTCTGCCACAAGGATCAGCTGGGCTTCAAACAAATGAAATATAGGTCAGTATAGTGCAGGGGCAGACGGGCGGCCATCGGAGTGAACCGGTTTGCTCTCAGCTGATCGTCAGAGCTACTGGTTTGCCTGAACCAGTCCGAATAGGCTGAATTCCACCCCTACATTCAGCTGTGTCTGACTCTTGGCAATTCTACGATCCACATCTTCCGATCTATCTCTTTGAGTTTTTCTCAAAGAATTTTTTTTTCTCACCATCAGCGTTGATGGTGTCCAGCCATCACATTCTTTGATAGCCTGGTTTCCGTTTACTGCTAAATTCTTCAAATATAATTACTTTCTCCAGTGATTCTTAACAATTAGTAGATTAACAAAGGATCCAAACAGAACTCTAAAACTGACATTGATATAGGATTGTATTAATTATACTAATTAATATAATTAATATATAGTATTAATATATATGGAATTAAAATATTCATATTAGTATAATATTAATATATTAATTTTAATTAAATAATAAATATTTAATGTATTACTATATATAAAATTCAGTATTAATATATATAAAATTCAACACGGTCATCTCAACTTTTTAAAAGTAAACAAAATCCCATTTAAATACATAAACTAGTCCTGGTATCATAATGTAAACAAAATAAAAGAAAATAAAATTTAGTGTGATGAAAAGAAACCACTTCTCCATTAGGAAAAAAAAAAACCTTCTAACACACAACCTTTTTCTCATTCCAAATATAAACAATTCCAAAGAAAACCTTTCCAAACAAAAACTTATCCCATTGAAAGAAACATTCCATATCTTAACTCTCAACTGTGACACATCCACATTTTGCAAATATAAAGTAATGCCAATATTCTGACATGAATAAAAGACTAAAATTTAACATAACAAGAAAAATAATTCACCAGACTTCCATAGGTAAAGATAAAGGTTCCCCTCACACATATGTGCTAGTCATTCCCAACTCTAGGGGGAGGTGCTCATCTCCGTTTCAAAGCTGAAGAGCCAGCGCTGTCCAAAGACATCTCCGTGGTCATGTAGCCAGCATGACTAAATGCCAAAGGCGCACGAAATGCTGTTACCCTCCCTCCAAAGGTGGTCCCTATTTTTCTACTTGCATTTTTTACATGCTTTCAAACTGCTAGGTTGGCAGAAGCTGGGACAAGTAACGGGAGCTCACCCTGTTATGCGGCACTAGGGATTCTAACCGCTGAACTGCTGATCTTTTGATCAACAAGCTCAGAATCTTAGCCACTGAGCCACCGTGAAATAATTCAGAGAAATAATTCACCAGACTTCCATACTTTGAGCAAAAAGGCAGTAGATAGAAAGCTACTGTTTCAATACCACATAGTTAGGACACATAAAACACCTATAGATGAAAGAACTAAAACTTTTTTGTTAAATGTGAGCAAATCCAGGCAAATGAGGTACAGGCAAATCCAAAAAAAATATCTCATTTCACCCCACAACTTTGTTTTCATTTTATTTATTTATTTATTGGTTCGATTTATATGCCGCCCTTCTCCAGAGACTCGGGGTGGCTTACAATGCGTTAAGCAATAGCCTTCATACTTTTGTATATACCTGCTTAGTAGGGCTTTCACTCCCCCTAAGCGGTGTTCTTTTTTATACAAAGTCAGCTTATTGCCCCCTCAATCCAGGTCCTCATTTTACCTACCTCAGAAGGATGGAAGGCTAGTCAACCTTGAGCCTTGTGAGATTTGAACTCGCAGTAATTGCAGGCAGCTGGCAGTTAAGTGCTACTTAACAGCACTTTAGTCCGCTGCACCACCAAGGCTCATAAATTTTACATAAATTTTATTTATGTAAGGAAAGAATCTGTAATTCATTCTGATACTAATCCTTACAGATTTCTTCAGCATGTTAAACAGTCTCTTTTGTAAATCTAACAAAAAGAAATTATTCTAACTGTTCTGTAGAAAGGTCATTTTTATTGCCTTCTAAATTTTCAAAGCCTCAATCAAGCTTTTCTTTATATCTGACAAGAAGTTCTTGTTCAGAGTCTCATTTGTTTTTTATCAAGAAAATTTTATTGTATATCTTGTTTTGTAACATATTTTGCTGGGAACAGCATGTTCTTAAGAGGACACAAAATAGTTAACATAACTGAGTCAAATTCCAATGCATGATCTGGGGCAGGTCCTCAAAGATAATGTTTGAACCTCATTATAAATTGCTCACATGGTTATTTTGTTGTTGTTTGTGAAGAACAACTGTAAGCAGCTTGAGCCGTCTTGCATCCTCTCTTCGTCCAAACAGGGTCATACAAATTGATCTACTGTTGGATCCCTTATTTGTGGCTGCAAATATCAACTCAAGTAAGTCTATAGGTCTTTAAAATTTTGGTAAACATTGCTTTTTTCTTCATTAAGAGATAAGCTACAAATGAAAAAGTTTTTTCCCTCATATTCCTGAAGTGGAGTGAAGCCTTCACCATTGTGTAGAACCTGATGAAATGTTTAGTTCTTCTTTTCTCTTCATTTTCTATTTTTGTTTTCTTGTATGTATGATTTTTGTATTTTTGTAGCTCAATGAAATTGTAAGAAGGATCTCATTCAATAATACTGCAGGAGAAACAATATCTTTCAACCAAAATGGAGAACTAGACAATGGTTTTGATGTCATCAATTGGGTGACATTCCCAAACAAGTCCTTTTTGAAAGTCAAAATTGGTGGAATAGGATCTGTGACTTCCCAAGAGGACGTATTAGTCATCCACCAGGAAGCCATCATTTGGCCAAGCAGGTTTAACCAGGTAGGACCAAAATTTGTGTCTGGATCATGTTATTTACTGTATATTTAATTGAATAAATATGAGCTGTGGAATACTTCTGGTGATTTTTCCTGCCTTCTGTCTGAAGTACTAAGAGACAAGTTAGGGAAACTAATGTTATAGGAAGGGAGGCTTAGTTGGCAATATTCCCTTCAAGTTAAATAAAGTGACATAATAACATGACCATGTGAATAAAGGTTTTATATAATCATGTAATGCTGAAAAGGGAGTTTCTTCTCTTCTTTCTTTCTTTCTTTCTTTCTTTCTTTCTTTCTTTCTTTCTTTCTTTCTTTCTTTCTTTCTTTCTTTCTTTCTTATATTCTGTCCATCTCAATGCTATGGTGACTGGGTAGCTTACCAATTGTAAAAAGATACACATACAGAAAAATTACAATCAAGAAAAATTATATAAAACTAAAACCAAGATGGCAATGAGGCCTCCTCCTCTCTCCTCCTCCTGTCAACCACCTCCATTGGAGAGTTCCACCTTCGGGGCTCCAAGCCAACTGGGAAAAAATATTTTAATGCCCTTCCAGAAGGTCAAGAAGGTAAGAGTGTATCTCATCTCTGGCACAGAGTGTTCCACAGTTTATAGGTCACAGTGGGAAAGGCTTTTCTCTTGACCCCACCAACTGGAATTCCTTCTCAGAAGAAAGATCCACAGCAGGCCCTTTCTGCTGGAGCACATTGGATGGGCAGGTTCCATTGTGGCAAGAGGACTCCTCAGATACACTGCACCAATCCCATATGTTATAATCAATATAGATCCAAAAATCAGGACAAATAACTCCTACCTGCTTTTCTCTGATAACATTTAAAGTATATAATTTATTATAACCATTAAAATCACAGAAAAGGTCAGCATCTAACAGACATTGGTTCATGGAGAGACAAGCTAGGCTTGGCTTAGTATTTAGTTACCAGAATTCTAGAAAATTTAAAGGCCGCAAGAAGTTAAATAAACTGATGAGGTTATGTACTTTGATCATGAAACATCTGTAAGAAAACCACCAAACTCAGAGAGCACCAAGGACCCCACAGAAGCTTTAAAAAAACTTCCACCAAGACAGAGGAAAGTAACCTCCATTCAGGTGCCAAAAAGCCTACATGGACATTTTCTTGTATAAGCAGACGATGAGCTTAACTCAAGGAGGTTTTTAATCTTAGTTTCATTTAAAATACATGGCAAAGAGTCGGAGTGCTTGCTCTCTAAATCCCATACTATTTTCCTCCCCTTGCCTCTTTTCATTGACATCATTCACAACACTTCTTACCAAACATGATACATTGTGAAGCTTAGTAGACAATAACTATTACTACCAATCAATGAAAAAAAGCAAAACATTTTTTTTACATTTCCTTTATGTATAGGTCCAGCCACTTTCTGTGTGTAATAACTATTGCTCTTTGGGTTTCGCTAAGACCAAAATAGAAGGGAAGCCATTTTGTTGTTATGATTGTCTTCACTGTCCTGAAGGGAAGATTTCCAATCTCATAGGTGAGTGGTGATTCATAAGTTTGTAGATATTCTTTCCTATGCAGCCAAATCTTTTTTATACTGTATATAGTTGATAGCTGCAGTATCTGTTATGGCTACAGATCTCAACACTGTTTTCTCACATTGTGAAAGATCTCTATTTATTTATGTTTTCTGGGTGGCTCACATAATGTCAAATATGGGATGCTGAGATATTTGAAATTCAAGCTGTACGGATACTAAACCTCTAACAACAGCTTCATAATGCACATGGGCACCAACATAATACCCACCTGCAAAATTTACAAGCAGTCATATCATCCAGGGGTGGGTTCTTACCTTTACTACCAGTTCGCATCACGCCTGCACGCTTTTCTGCGCATGTGCAAATCAACTTTGATGACCTTTTTATTCCATCAGGCGGGCTTGGCCTAATCTCTTCCCTTTTTTAAATATGTAAATTTTAATCTGTTTTTAAATTATTGGGGTGTTTTAATCTGTCTGGGCCAAAATGATTTAATTTGATTTTATCTGGTTTTTAAATTTTTTGTATCTATGTATTTTATTGTTTGGCTGTTCACCGCCCTGAGTCCTTCGGGAGTAGGGCGGTATACAAATAAAAAAATAAAATAAAATAAAATAAAATAAAATAAAAAACATCCAGGTCAGTGGGCAGAGCCCCCTGCCAGTTTTACTACCGGTTCTTCTGAACCAGTCCAAACCAGGGGTAACCCACCACTGATATCATCCCTTTAAGATGACACAGAGGGGAGATTCACTTGTGTTTCTGCACACCCAAAGACACTTTGGGAGATCAAATCCTATGCTCTGTACATACCTATTTCACATTTCTAAATTGAATTACTAAAGTGATTGACAGTAAAAATAATACAATTAGCACTATATAAAACTACCATGTTCCTTTACCACAATAAAAACATTTTTCTTTGGAAAAAGGGAAGGCTTTTCAGATTGTTTTTAAAATGGAAACAGAAACAAGATAAAATGTCAGGTTCTACAAAGCAAAATACATCTCGGTGGATCATAGTTTTCAGGTTTGAAAAATATTTGTTAAATAATTGAACAAATAAGCCAAGAGTTCTCATTCAGGACACAAATGACCAAACTCAAATTATCATATTTTGGACACATTCTGCCAAAGCATAACTGTCTGAGGTAGGCTTTAATGATGGCAATGGGAGAAGAAGTGACAACCAGCAACAAGGTGAATAGCGGCAGTTAGAGAGCCAGTTTGGCCTAGTTTTGGCCCACCAGGCTAAAAAGCAGGGGATGGTAAATTCTAAACCCACCTTAGCTCTGAAAGTCAGCTGAGTCACTGATTGTCATGGATAGGTGTTCCTTATTCTCTCACCTTTCCCTGTTGCATTTACAAGATCACTGAAATTGAAGAGTTTATTTATGTAGTTAATAAATGGGGACCATCCATAACTCAATCACTCAGATTCGGGAACACCTGGACTGTGACTGGGTAGATTCAGCGGGGAGGACAGAGACAGGTCTTGTGAGTATTATCTGGGAAGAGTTTGATTCTGTGACGCCCAAAGACATGGACAGGATACTGGGCAGACTGAGCGCAGCCACATGTTTACTGGACCCGTGTCCCTCCTGGTTGGTGCTGGCCTCTCGGGAGGTTACACGAGGCTGGCTCCAGGGGATTATAAATGCTTCCTTGAGTGAGGGTGTCTTCCCTGCTGCCTTGAAAGAGGCGGTGGTGAGGCCTCTCCTCAAGAAGCCTTCCCTGGACCCGGCAGTGTTGGCAAATTATCGCCCAGACTCCAACCTTCGCTTCATTGCGAAGGTTGTTGAGAGTGTGGTAGCGTGACAGTTCCCCCAGACCTGGATGTATCATCATATCTGGATCTCTTCCAGTCAGGCTTCAGGCCTGGGTACAGCAGGGAAACGGCATTGGTCGCGTTGGTGGATGATCTCTGGAGGGCTCGGGACAGGGGTTGTTCTACTATCCTGGTCCTATTAGACCTCTCAGCGGCTTTTAATACCATCGACCATGGTATCATGTTGCACTGGCTAGAGGAGTTAGGGGTGGGGGGCACCGTCCTATGGTGGTTCTCCTCCTTTCTCTCTGACCGGTCGCAGTCCGTGTTGACAGGGGGGCAGAGGTTGACCCCGAGGCCCCTTGTATGTGGGGTGCCACAAGGGTCGGTCCTCTCGCCCCTTCTGTTCAATATTTATGTGAAGCCGCTGGGTGAGATCATCCGTGGTTTCAGGGTGAAGTACCATCGCTGATGATACTCAGCTGTACATCTCCACCCCGGACCACCCCAATGAAGCCCTTGAAGTGATGTCCCGGTGCCTGGAGGCCGTGCGGATCTGGATGGGGAGAAACAGACTCAGGCTCAACCCATCAAGACTGAGTGGCTGCGGTTTCCGACATCCCGATATAGTCAGTTGTGCCATCACTGACTATTGGGGGCAAGTCATTGGCCCCCCACGGAGAGGGTTCGCAACTTGGGTGTCCTCCTGGACTCACGGCTGTCTTTAGAAGAGCACATGACGGCCGTGGCCAGGGGGACTTTTTATCAGGTCCGCCTGATTCGCCAGTTGCGTCCCTTTCTGGATCGGGACTTGTTAAATACGGTCACTCATGCTCTCATTACTTCCCGTCTGGACTACTGCAATGCTCTCTACATGGGGCTCCCCCTGAGGAGCACCCGGAGGCTCCAGCTTGTCCAGAATGCGGCCCCGCGGGTGGTTATGGGAGCGACGTGGCGCTCCCATGTGACCCCCCTCCTGCGCGAGCTGCACTCCTGGTGGTCTTCCGGGTACGCTTCAAGGTTTTGGTTACCACCTTTAGAGCGCTCCATGTCATTGGACCGGGGTATTTACGAGACCGCCTTCTGCTACCAATAGCCTCTCACCGACCAGTACGCTCCCATAGAGAGGGGCTCCTCAGGGTGCCGTCGGCCAAACAGTGTCGACTGGCGGCCCCCAGGGGGAGAGCCTTCTCTGTGGGGGCACCTACCATCTGGAACGAGCTCCCCCCAGAGATATGGAGAATCCCAGACCTGCGCACATTTCGTCGTGCTCTGAAAACTTTTTTATTTCAGCAGGCTGGCCTGGCCTAACTCTCCTTTTTTAAATTTTTAATTTGTGATTTTATAAATTGGGTATTTTAATCTGTGTTTCGGCCAAAATATTTAATAATTTTAAGGGATTTTTTAATATTTGTATTATTTGTATTTTATCTTGGCTGTTCACCGCCCTGAGTCCTTCGGGAGTAGGGCGGTATAGAAATTTGATAAATAAATAAATAAATAACTCCATCTTGAAAAATATTTTTCCAAACCTTGATGACAATGTCATGCTTTTAATTTTAATTCATGCAACCATCTTTCTAACCAGAGTGTTTTTTCCCCCTAGATATGGATGATTGTTTTTCATGTCCAGAAGATCAGTATCCAAACAAGGATCAGAATTCATGTCTTCCAAAAATTGTAACGTTCCTAACATATGAAGAATCACTGGGGACCTCCTTAGCCATTTGTTCTCTTACGTCTTCTTTTATTGTATTGTTGGTTCTGGGTATTTTCATTAAATACCAGGACACTCCCATTGTCAAGGCCAACAACCGAAATCTCACCTACATCTTTCTCATGTCCCTTCTGCTTTCATTCCTTTGTGCTTTACTGTTTATTGGCAAACCACATAAAGTGATATGTGTCCTACGACAAAGTACTTTTGGTATAATATTTACTGTAGCTGTATCTTGCGTGTTAGCAAAAACCACCATTGTGATTTTAGCTTTCATGGCTACCAAGCCAAACTCTACCATGAGGAAATGGGTTGGGAAAAGGTTGGCCATTTCCATTGTATTTTTCTGCTCCTTCATTCAAATAGTTCTTTGTACTGTCTGGCTGTTGACTTCTCCCCCATTCCCTGATTTCAACATGCACTTAATGGCAGAAGAAATTGTTCTGGAATGTAATGAAAACTCCTTTGTCATGTTCTACTGTGTCCTGGGCTTTATGGGCCTCCTAGCTCTTGTCAGCTTCACTTTAGCTTTCTTTGCCAGGAAACTACCAGACTCTTTTAACGAAGCCAAATTTATCACCTTCAGCATGTTGATTTTCTGCAGTGTTTGGCTCTCCTTTGTTCCTAGTTATCTGACCACAGGGGGAAAACATATGGTGGCTGTGGAGATCTTCTCGATCATGACATCCAGTGGAGGGCTTCTTGTATGCATCTTCTTCCCTAAATGCTTTATCATCCTACTGAAGCCTGAACTGAATAACAAGCAGCAACTAAAACAAAGAAAAACCTGAAAGATGTAGAATTGCATTGCCTTCTTTTAACTTTGTCATGCAAAAGCACTAAGGACTCAAACTGGAAATCTATAAGCCTTTCCCATCTACCAGTTGCAATTGGTGCCATTACATCTACAATTTTCCATCTGATTTTAGGATTGGAAAGCTGGTTCCATTTTTGTCACACCACACCCAGAGTTGAATTGGTGCTTGGTATAAAGTAATATTAAATAAATACAAAATAAATATTGAAATAGAATCAAGTCCATGATTTCCATATTAAGAATAAACTCTTGAATGTTGAGAAATCCTTCCTGCCTTCCCTCCCTCAGTCCCTTTCTCCTTCCTTCCTTCCTTCCTTCCTTCCTTCCTTCCTTCCTTCCTTCTCCTCCCTCCCTCCCTCCCTCCCTTCCCACAAAATCTGTCCATGAAAGCCATCATTGAGTAAAAAAAAAATCAATCTAATTTAAAAATTCTTAACTAAATGTTTTGAGCCATGTATTGTAAATATTTGTAAGTCATTCTGTTTGGGGACAGATCTCTCTGAATTAATAAATGAGATTATACTAATTTCCTTCAGACTTGAAAAAGACATTTATAAAGCACATATCCTTGAAATGTAAATATTTGTGTTTTGTTTAAGAAATTCACCATATTCCTAGAATGCATGTAGAAAGTTATCACTAGTTATTTGAGGAGAGTAAAGAAACACTGAAATAATATTTAAAATAATAATAATAAAAATATTTGCAAACATTTTGATTTCTGCTTCCTTTATGCTTTGGAAGACAAAATCTACCTTAGAGAGTTATATATATATATATATATGCTTCTTTTAATCTACAGTCTGATTCACCTGTCATGTTCTGAAGATGATACCTGATGTTTTACCTTGTTGCAGTAACTCAGACCTTCTATTTTGTATCCTGTACTTACCATAAAGACAATTAATGAAAATCCAAAGATGAAATTTTTAGGTTCCATGTCTTGAACAATAATTTATACCTAAAATAGACATAATAAATAAAGGTGCAATGACTAGTAGTTAAAGATGCTGATCTTGTCAGGTGAAGAACTGACAGTCCAAGTTTGAGACCCAAGCTCCATGCAATGAGGTGAGGTCCCATTCCTTGCCCAGCTCCTGCCCAACTAGCAGTTCAAAAGCATGTACATGCAAATAGATTTATTTATTTATTTATTTATTTATCAATTTATATACTGCCCTTCTCCCTGAGGACTCAGGCGGTGCACAGCCAGAATTAAAAACATGAAATACAAATATTAAAAACAATTAAAATATATATAAATTTGGCCCAAAAATTTAAAAAACCACAAACCAATTAAACATTTAAAAAATTTAAAAAATTTCTTCCTAAGCTAGCCCGGCTTTCTGGAAAAAGTGGGTATAAGGGCACGGCGGAAGGCACTGAGATTAATAGGTTCCACTTCTATAGGAAGGTAACAGCATTTTGTGTACCTTTGGCATGTAACCATGATGGCCACATGGCCACAGAAATTCTCTTCAGACAATGCTGGTTTCTTTAGCTAAGAAACATAGATGAGCACTGTGCCCTAGATTCAGACATGACTGACAGGGAAAGCTTTATCTTTAGAAGAATTTGCTTTATTAGCACTTCTGTCTACACCAGAATATTTAATACCTAATTACAAGAGTGATGCCCAGAGTAATGTAGTTACTGTTATTTAGGATCCTACTGCTGCTGTTTTTACAGCAAGCATGCTTTGAATCTATGAGACTTAGAGGAGTCATTCATCAATGCTCTAGGGACTATATAACATTTTGCAGACAGAGGCTATTATTGTAAAGGGAAGTAACTTCATTTGAATTATAATACCGCTTAGAATTGTTTCAGATTTATGGTGGATACCATTATATAAAGAATAGGTAAATACTCAGGGGTGGGCTGCTGGGGCTTCGCAGGGGTTCAGGAGAACCTCTAGCTAAGATTCTGTGCAGTTTGGAGAATCCCCAAATCCAACTCCTGGCTGGCCCCACCAATCCCACCACACCCTTCCCAGGAGTCCCCACGCAGCCCGTTTTGGATGCAGGTAAGTGCAGGGCGTGCACAGAGGCTCGGGAGGGTGAAAAATAGAACTTTGGGAAGGCCAGAAATGGGCCCGTTTCTGGCCTCCAGAGGGCCTCTGGAACCTGGGAGGCCATTTTCACCCTCCCAGAGGTTCAAGGTAAGCACACCAGAGGTCGGGAAGGGCAAAAACAACCTCTCCACCATAATGCAGGAGGCTGACTAGGCCATGCCTACCATAGCCATGCCCACCCAGCAACCGGGCAGAGAACCCTTTGCTAAAATTTTTGAAGTCCATTCCTGTAAATACTGTATATGTACCAAATCACAATCTGATTCCTCAGTGCCATATCTATATCTATATCATCTATATCTCTATCATCTATCTCTATCTCTATCTCTATCATCTATCTCTATCTCTATCATCTATATCTATCTATCATCTATCTCTATCTATCTATCTATCTATCTATCTATCTATCTATCTATCAATATTTTTTTCTTTATTCCCTCTGTTTCCTTATAAAGATAAAGGTAAAGGTCCCCCTCGCACATATTTGCAAGTCGTTCCTAACTCTAGGGGGTGGTGCTCATCTCAGTTTCAAAGCCAAAGAGCAAGCACTTTCTGAAAACGTCTCCATGGTCCTTATACACTCCACCAATTCCTTTGTTTCAGTAATCAATGAGAAATTCCAAAGATTTTTCCTTCATCAGATATAGACCAGCGGTGTAAAAGGATTCTTAATCTTCCGTATTTCCAGTAACTGTGGGTTGGTGTGATTTAGGGTTGACAGGTCTGCTTTCAAAAAATAGCGGACAAGCGGGAGGGGGGGGGTTAAGTAGTAAAAAAATAAATTTACAATTAAATTATATCTTTTCTTACAAACAAGTATTAAAATAATCACTTCAAAACTTTATTTAAAATTCAAAACATCAAATATATTATAATAATATGTAAAATATTAAATTACATTTAACTTTGCTGTCATGTGTATTTTTTATTTGACTGCGCAGCTTTGATCAATTATTTGTGTTTAAGGAATAATTCTTTAATTTCAGTACAATGTTGAGAAATATTAAAAAATATTAAAAAATAGATTGAATTAGATTGAAACAACTTAGCGTCTCATATACTGAATTAGTGAAATTATACCACTTTTCTAGGTATGCAATGGCTCTTTGATACACGTTAATGGCTTCTTTCTTGAACTTTTGCACGGCATTCTCAGGCAAATGTTTTTTACGTAAGGCAAATAAAACTTTCATTCTAAAAAACTGCTCATTGTATTTTTTTTGCAAAGAATCACACAGCTTATACATGATAATGTGAAGATCACATGCAAGAATTTTTTTGCTTTCCAGCTTCAGTAGGGTGTCTTGCATTATTGACATGAAGAAGTGCATGAAATATAAATACAATTCTGAAATTGTTGGTTCATCGTCCTTTGCGAGTTCATTTTCCTGATCTGAAATAAGGTTCCAGATAACCTTATGGCACTCATCAGATCCAAGAGAAATAAAATACGATTTTAGAGGTATCCAGTTTAAAAGAAGTCTTTCGACCGCTTTAAACAAACATAACCAACGTGTTGGAACATGGCGCAAAACTTCATGGAATTCTGACTCGCAAAACTCAAAAAATGATTTCAACTCTTCTCATTTCTTCACAGAATTCGAAAATTCGGCAAAAACCTTCAGCACTACATTTTCGATATCAAAAGATAACTGCTTTAATTCATTTTTTGCGCTGTTGTGTAAAATGTGATTATTGCAATGAGCAGCTACAATATTGTCATTTTCCAGCAATAATTTTTGGTAAACAGATTTGTTCACTCCATAATTGACCAATGCATTATCTGCTGAGTAAAGCTTTTGAATAAAAAAAAATGTCCACTATTTTGTGAAAAAAAATAGTGAACATAATGTGAAAAAAGTGGACTGTCCGCTCAGATAGTGGACACCTGGCAACCCTAGGTGATTTCTGTTCTTGATTATTGTAGAGGGAAGGGGAGCGGAGGGAAGGGACCTCCATTGCTAATATTTTACAATCTCTGAAGAAACTTTCCTACCTGTTTCTCACTCATGAAAAAATATATATGATGCAATCCTAATTCAGAAATCTAAAAATAATTCTTTAAGCACGTAAAAGCTCAAAGATGTGTGGTGTCTTTCAGGAATTGGAAATCGTTTGATGATGTTAGAGAAGCATTGACCAAAATTAAACTCCAGAATGTTAATGATGCACAGGGGAGAGATGAGCTTACATGGCATTTCTTAACATTCAAGAGTTTGCCCTTTTCATGGAAATCACAGACTTGATTCTATTTTGAGATTTATTTATTTTTTATTTATTTAACATAACTTTATATCAACCATCTATACAACTCTGGGTGAGGCATACCATAAAACATTAAAAATGGAGCCAGTTCTCCAATCTTAAAATCAGATGGAAAGTTGCAGATGTTGCAATTGTAACTGGTACAGATGGGAAAGGCTTATAGATATTCAGTTGGGGCCTTAATGATTTCACTTGGCTAAATTAAAAGAAGCAATATAATTCTACATTTTTCAGATTTTTCTTTGTCTTAGTTGTTGCTTGTTATTCAGTTCAGGCCTCAATATGATGATATAGCATTTAGGGAAAAAGATGCATACCAGGAGCCCCCCACTGGATGTTATAATGGAGAAGATCTCCACAGCCACCATATGTTTTCCCCCTGTGGTCAGATAACTAGGAACAAAGGAGAGCCAGACACTGCAGAAAATCAACATGCTGAAGGTGATAAATTTGGCTTCGTTAAAAGAGTCTGGTAGTTTCCTGGCAAAGAAAGCTACAGTAAAGCTGACAAGGGCTAAGAGGAACATGAAGCCCAAGACACAGTAGAACATGACAAAGGAGTTTTCATTACATTCCAGAACAATTTCTTCTGCCATTAAGTGCATGTTGAAATCAGGGAATGGGGGAGAAGTCAACAGCCAAACAGTACAAAGAACTATTTGAATGAAAGAGCAGAAAAGTACAATGGAAATGGCCAACCTTTTCCCCACCCATTTCCTCATGGTAGACTTTGGCTGGGTGGCCATGAAAGCTAAAATCACGATGGTGGTTTTTGCTAACACGCATGATACAGCTGCAGTAAATATTATACCAAAAGTACTTTGTCGTAGGACACATATCACTTTATGTGGTTTGCCAATAAACAGTAAAGCACAAAGGAATGAAAGCAGAAGGGACATGAGAAGGATGTAGGTGAGATTTCGGTTGTTGGCCTTGACAATGGGAGTGTCCTGGTATTTAATGAAGATACTCAGAACCAACAATACAATAAAAGAAGACGTAAGAGAACAAATGGCTAAGGAGGTCCCCAGTGATTCTTCATATGTTAGGAACGTTACAATTTTTGGAAGACATGAATTCTGATCCTTGTTTGGATACTGATCTTCTGGACATGAAAAACAGTCATCCATATCTAGGGGAAAAAACCATTCTGGTTAGAAAGATGGTTGCACTGAAATTAAACATATGACACTGTTATCAACATTTGAAAAAAAAATAGAAAATATTTTTCAAGATATATTTGGTCACCGATGGACCCCATTTATTAACTGCATAAATAAAGTCTTTCATTTCAGTTATCTTGTAAATACAACAGGGAAAGGTGAGTGAGAAAGGAAAGACTATCCATGACACTCAGTGAAAATTTGGTATGCTTCCTCCTCAGAAAAATTATCCTGGATCGCTGAGAAGTCTTGTTTTCTCTTTCTCTCTGTGCGTGCATTTTTGCCATTTCTTTGTTTACATATAGCAGCGATATATGTATATATTGTGTTAAATTTATATTTACTGACAAAGAAATAAATGGAGACAAGTATAGATCTATTTCAAGCTATTTATAGCTAGCCATACCCTTCTGGGATTCGAATCTGGGCTTGCTTGCATATTAGGCAGATATATTGACCTCTAAGCCACAGGTTCTCCTCACTTTGTCAGCTTGTATCAGGGAAGATTAAATGGGTTTCCTATCGAAGCAACCTGGTCTACCCAAATATGGTAAGGAGCATACTGCTTCCTTTTCGCCTTTCAGCCCCAACCCAGGAGCCCTCAGGCAGTCGCTTTCACGACAAACTATTTTGTATTAAATTTATATTTACTGACAAAGAATCCCAGAAGGGTATGGCTAGATGATGAGAGCTAAATAGCTTGAAATAGATCTATACTAGTCTCCATTTACTTCCCGTTGTGAACCGGTGGTAAAGGTAAGTAGAACCCAACCTTGCTTCCCCTGGAGTGGGATGGAAATGGAGATTTTGGTGACACAGCAGACTAAAGCACTGTTAAGTAACACCAGCTGCCTGCAATTACTGCAAGTACAAATCTCACCAGGCTCAAGGTTGACTCAGCCTTCCATCCTTTCGAAGTAGGTAAAATGAGGACCTGGTTTGTGGGGGCAATAAGCTGACTTTGTATAAAAAAGAACACCACTTGAAGTGGGGGCGAAAGCCCTACTAAGCAGGTATATACAAAAGTATGAAGGCTATTGCTTAACACATTTTAAGCCACCCTGAGTCTCCGGAAAAGGGTGGCATATAAATCAAACCAATAAATAAATAAATAAATAACTATTCTCAAATTGATATAAGGCTATGCTGATGAACCTCTCCATAAATAAATAAATAAATAAATAAATAAATTTTGTAGTAAGAGCCTTGGTACTACAGTGGTTTAAAGCACCCTGTTATTAACACAGCTGCCTGCAATTTACTGCTGGTTCGAATCTCTCCAAGGCTCAAGGTTGACTCAGCCTTCCATCCTTTCTAAGGTAGGTTAAATGAGGACCCAGTTTGTGGGGGCAATAAGCTGACTTTGTATAAATATAGAAAAGTATGAAAGCTATTGCTTAACGCACTGTAAGCCGCCCTGAGTCTCCGGAGAAGGGCGGCATATAAATCAATTAAAAAAAAAAAAGTATCCTTCCCCTGCCACGCCCACCAAGCCATGCCCATAAAGCCACACCATACCCACCAAGCCACGCCCACAGAACTGGTAGTAAAAAATGTGAATTTCACCACTGTATCAACTGTAAAAAAGATTTGGCTGCATGGAAATAAATATCTATAAACTTATGCATCACTCATTTATCACTACTCACCTATGAGATTGGAAATCTTCCCTTCAGGACAGTGAAGACAATCATAACAACAAAATGGCTTCCCTTCTATTTTGGTCTTAGCGTAACCCAAAGAGCAATAGTTATTACATAGAGAAAGTGGCTGGACCTGTGCATAAAGGAAATGAAAATAAATGCTTTGCTTTTTTCCCAAGACTGTATAGTAATAGTAATGGCAAGGTTCCAAATAATATGTCCCCAGAATAAAAATCCAAGGGGGTCCATTTTTCATCAAAGTCCATTTATTAGGAACATATCAAATTGGTGGGAAGCGGTGGCTCAGTGGCTAAGATGCTGAGCTTGTCGATCAGAAAGTTCAGCAGTTTAGTGGTTCAAATCCCTAGTGCCACATAAAGGAGTCAGCTCCTGTTACTTACCCAGCTTCTGCCAACCTAGCAGTTTGAAAGCATGTAAAAATGCAAGTAGAAAAATAGGGACCACTTTGGTGGGAAGGTAACAGCGTTCTGTGCACCTTCGGCATTTAATCATGCCAGCCACATGACCATGGAATTGTCATCAGACAGTGCTGGCTCTTCGTCTTAGAAATGGAGATGAGCACTGCCCCCTAGAGCCGGAAATGACTAGCACGTATGTGTGAGGGGAACCTTTACCTTTACCTATCAAATTGGCAAGGTCTTGGTGTAATTCTGACTCTGGCCAGACTCCAGAATTACACCCAATAAAAGCAAAAGTTTTAAACTTCCCCCCTTAGTCACACTCTCTAATCAGCTCACTGTCCCCCAGACTGATAACTCCAAACTCCACCTTGCTCCAGCTGCAGGCACCTTCTTAGTTCCCACGGGAAGTAATGCCATCTAGCCATAACATTCCCCCTTATCACTATAACCCCCCGTCCTACTGCTAGAATGTGGTGAGCCTGAAGCACTATTAAATTCCTTTGCAGAAAACCTAAAGAAAGCTAAGAAAAAATAGACAAAAGCTACAATAAAATATGGCTACACATATGTCAGCTTCAGGGTCGACAAAACAACACAATGTATCAGGTTCGGTGGGAAGAGGCAAGGCAATGGAAATACTATGGGATGTTGAGAGCTACCACTCAGATTGTATTTTAAATGAAGCTAAGATAAAAAATCTCTTTAAGCCAAACTCATCTTCTGCTGACACAAGAATAGTTGTGGATTTTTATTTTTTTTTTTACTTTCAACACCCTTAGGATTTTTATTTTATTTTTATTTTTTTGGTATTGTGGGAACTAATAAACCCAACCATTTGACTTAGCTTGCTTCCCTATGAATCAAGGTCTGTTAGATTGCTGGTAGGTGCTGTGATTTAAGGCAATATATGATTGAATTGGACCATAAGGAAGGCTGAGTGGCCAAAGAATTGAGGCCTTTGAACTATGGTGCTGGAGAAGACTCCTGAGAGTCTCTTGGACTGCAAGGTGATCAAACCAGTCAGTCCTAAAGGAAATCAGCCCTGACTCCTCTTTAGAAGGCCAGATCCTGAAGATGAAACTCAAATCCTTTGGCCACTTAATGAGACTCATTAAGTGGCCAAAGGACTCCAGGACTCACTGGAGAAAAGCCTAATGCTGGGAAATATTGAGGGCAAAAGAAGAAGGAGACAACAGAGAATGAGGTGACTGGATTGAGTCACTGAAGCAGTAGGTGTGAGCTTAAATGGACTCCAGAGGATGGTAGAGGACAGGAAGGCCTGGAGGAAGATTGTCCATGGTGTTGCAATGGGTTGAACACGACTTCACAACTAACAACAACAACAACATTAACTGTATTGTGTCCTCTTAAGAACAATCTGTTCCTGACTTCTGGCGGTGACGTCAGCGTGTCAGGGACAAAAGTAACGGTTCTCCGCTTCCAAAGTCCCTAATATCCTCGCTTCGGGTGCTGATTTAGGTGCTATCGACCCTGCAGTGGTTGATAGAAGAAAGGGAAACTTCTGAGGACCTCGGGGAGGACAGCAATCCACCCAAGGTTCAAGAAGATCCCCTTAACTCGGACTGAGGAAGAACCAGGCACCCTGGCTGGCCAGAAATGGTGACAGCTGTTTAGAGGGAAGCGAAGATTGAAAAAGAAAGCATCGGTAGAAACAGAAAGTGAGGATTAAGGATTGAAAAGGTATATTTACATCTTCTAATTGCCGAAAGAAAGCAGGTGGAAGGAACCCCCGAGTAAGAGATAAGAGAGAAAAGCAGTGACTGATGAATGGAGTGGAGGGAGGAATCCATATTGAAAGTAACAACGCGTAACCTGGTAGTCAGTGAAATCTGAAGAAATCCAGAGGGAAATTGGTCGACTGAGCATGTGGGCGATATTTAGAACTTTATAACAAGAATCTGTGAGAGTGAAAGTTTTAGAAAGTGGAAAAGACTTGACGGGAGGATTATTTAATAAGAGTGAGACAATTGTATAATTGGACAATAGGATAACGAGATAATTGAATCAAGTTACCTAGAGAAGCAGACGTTCGACATTCGCATATTCGGTGTGTTTTGGATATACATAAAAGGGAAGAAAAAGTACGAACGAACGTGGAGTATACTGGATCTATAATATTGTTTTTCCTGCCATTTACTGCTTGGGAAGACTGGAACTGAGGACTATGGAATAACTGGATAATACTCAGATATATTAAGATATTGGAATCACTGACAATTGAAAGGAAGTTGATTTGGATTATAATTGGATACTCAATATAAGGATTGTTGGGGCGCAAGACATTCAAAGAAGAAGGAGAAAGCAATGAGTGTGGGAAGAAATTTCAAAAGAAGAAAAAATCAAAGATTTGTGACTAAGACTATCTATTAATTATCAACAGTGATTAAGAAGTAATATTCATATACATATTTATATTGCTTTGGAAATTTATTCTTATATATGATTGCACAGTATAATCTTGTATTTATTAAGTGAATTATTGTTCTGGCAACTTGTCTTTATATACTTAGAATCAGAGATTTAGATCATACCATATTCATTATAACTACAAAAAGTATATCTATATATGTATGCTAGATAAATTAGAAACCAATAGTAATTGATATTTATTGGAAGTAAGACATATATATATATATATATGCTTTCTGCATTGATGTGTGGTGGTTGCATCCTGTGCGGCTCTGGTGTCATTCTTTGTGTTAGGGACTCGTTAGGGACCAACAGAAGAATAAGTGCACGCATTGAAGAACACAAGAACTCAATCAGAAAAGAGGAACCAACTTCTTCCCTGGTCCAACACCTCAAAGCCACAGGACATGATATTGACTTTAAAAAGACCAGAACTATCACCAAAACCGAACACTTTAACAACAGAATAATC